AACCTCATTACCTTCTTCATCTCCTCGTCCTCGAACACCACGACCTGGCCACTACTGTTTATAACAACTCGCTGTCAGCCGCTCTAGACTCGCTAGCAGCCCCAACAACATGAAGCATTAGACCCCGACCGCTACAACCCTGGCAGACTGACCACACCAAAAATCTCAAACGACGCAGTCGTGTGCTGGAGTGACTATGGCGCAAAACCAAATCCCAACAAGCGTTCACCCGATATAAATCTGCCTTCCTAACCTACACTTCCTCCCTTCACGCTGCCAAGCAAGCTTACTTTGTTACCCTCATTAATACCTTCTCCTCCAGTCCTCACCGGCTCTTCTCTACTTTTAACTCTCTACTCTCTCCGCCCCCACCTCCACCCAGTACCTCAATCACCACCCATGAGATTGCTAACCACTTCAAAAACAAGATCGACGCAATTCGTGGGGACATTGCCACTGCTCAGACTTCCACCCCACCTAGCATTCCTCACACTAAAACCCCCTCAACACTCCACTCCTTCGACCTCGCCTGTAATGGACCGCCTGACAGCACCTCTATCATTCCCCTGGCAGAGCCTCCCCAGAGTGCGGAGTCTAAGCACTGGAGCACTTGTTCACCAGGGCCCCTGATGGTGGGGATAGACTTTGAGCGCTCCGGTACCAGGTCGCAGCTGCTAGGTATTTCCAACAGGGGTAGAGGAGTCTGACAGGAGCTCCAGGGGGCTAAGAGTCTGATGTGAGGGAGCCTAGTGATCCCTGCGGGATGGATGGATGAGCTAAATCAGAGTCATACAGGCCAGGTCGGTAACTAGCGGGTCGGTGAGGTACAAAACGGTAGGCAAAGGATAGTCGGGTCACACGCAGGGTCAATACCAAAAGATCAGATTTAAAGGGGAACATCCAGGAGCAGAGTCAGGCAGGCCAAGGGTCAGGACAGGAGAAGGCAAAAAGGTCAAACAATCCAGATCAAGATACTCACAACACAGGTAACAGCATACAAAGACCATTCGGCAACAAGTGTTTGTGCAGAGCTGGTTTAAATAGCCCGCCCTGCACCTGACAGGTGCAGCCTAGGTCCTAGTGCCTGCCTAGTACTGTCAAGATGAAGGGTGCGCCTGGGTCCTAGTGCCCTGCCACCTACACGTCTTGGCAGACACCTACGCCTGTGTAGACCCATGCGTTGCAATGGTCCCTGACATTGCCCCCCCCCCCATGGGTACCCTCCGGGTGCCCAAATGATCTCTCCACTCCGGGTGATCACGCACAAACCCCCGCATAAGTCTAGGAGCATGAACATTTTGAGTGGGTTCCCAAGAATTCTCCTCAGGACCATAGCCTTTCCACTTAATCAGAACCTGGGTCTGGCCCCCCCTCCTCCGACAGTTCAAGATTGCTTCTACCTCAAATTCCTCCTGTTCCCCTACTATAATAGCCTCTGGGGGCCTGGATTCCCAATCCGGAAATGGGTCTGTGGCTACCGGTTTCAGCAAAGAGACGTGGAACACAGGATGAATCTTGAAGGTCTCAGGAAGGACCAGCTCGTAAGCTACCTCATTGATCATGCGTTTAACCTGGAAGGGGCCTAAAAATTTTGGTCCTAATTTCTTAGATGGGCACTGCAATTTTAGGTTAGTCGTTGCTAACCAGACCTTGTCACCAGGCTGCAATATTAATTCCCCCCTTCGTTTTTTGTCAAACGCCTCCTTGTTGTCTTCCTGGGCTTTAGCCATGGCTTCTTGTAATCGTTTGTTATAGTTTGAAAAAAAATCCATCATGTTTTGGGTAGCTGGGACCGTGCTTTCCGCAATCAGGTCAGGCATGAATGTGGGGTGGAACCCATAATTCGAAAAAAACGGTGACTGTCCTGTAGCAGAGTGATTCGCTTTGTTGAATGCAAATTCCGCCAGGGGCAAGAGGGTCAGCCAATCATCCTGTACAAATGAAGTGTAACATCTCAGATATTGCTCTAACGTCTGATTGGTCCTCTCTGTCTGCCCGTTGGTCTGAGGATGGAAGGCGGAAGAAAGCGAGAGCTTAATGCCCAGGGCCTTGCATAGGGCCCTTCAAAATTTGGAGGTGAACTGCACCCCTTGGTCGGATACCACATCCTCAGGAACCCCATGTAGCCTAACTACTTCTCTGATAAAGATCCTGGCGGTCTCTTCAGTGGTACAAAATGGCCCATCTTTGAAAGTCTGTCCACTACAACGAAAAAATTGTCGTATGTCCTTGGGAAGGAGGTAGTTCCACTATGAAATCCATAGCAATCTTCTGCCAACATCGGGTGGGAATGGGTAGTGGGCGTAGCAGCCCCCAAGCCTTGTTCCTGGTTGGTTTATTCCTTTGGCAAATCGCACAAGATTCCACGTAGCGTTTACAGTCCTTGTTCATTTCAGGCCACCAGAAGGTGCGTTTAAGTAGTTCCAATGTTTTTGCCGTTCCGAAGTGCCCCGCCATTGGGTGATCGTGACAGTGCCCTAATACCTGTGTCTGCACCTCCTTTGGAACCACAATCAGCCCCTCTTTCCGTATCAGTCCTTCTTCGCGGGAGAGTGCTACTCCTGGCACTGTGGGACAAGCCTCAGATGCGTCCTGCAACTTAGCTCTCAGTTCCGTTTGGAGAGCCAAAAAGTTTCCAGCAGACAGAATGGTATCCGGTTTGAGTTCTTCCTCAGGATCCTCAAACATACGAGACAGGGCATCTGGCTTTGTGTTCTTTGAACCTGGCCTGTATGTAATGTGGAGTGAGAATCGCGAGAAAAACAGGGCCCATCTGGCTTGGCGTGGTCTTAGACGTTTGGCTGTTTTCAAATATTCGAGATTTTTATGATCCGTGAAAATCAAAATTGGGTGCGCCGCTCCTTCCAGTAGATATCTCCATTCCTCCAACGCTGTCTTGATGGCCAACAGTTCTCGGTCCCCGATGTCATAATTGCATTCTGCCGAAGTAAGCTTCCTAGAGAAGAACGCCACTGGGTGTAGCAGTTCTTTGGGCCCCTTCCTTTGTGACAAGATGGATCCTACTGCGTTCTCGGATGCGTCTACCTCTAGTACAAAGGGCAGTGCCGTATCCGGGTGACCCAGAATGGGAGCGGTGGTAAATAGTCGCTTCAGGGTCTCAAATGCTTCTTGAGCTCCTGATGTCCATTTAAAGCGACTTCCTGACTTAGTCAACTGCGTGATAGGGGAGACCAGACCTGAAAAGATCTAGGTCCTAGTGCCTGCCTAGTACTGTCAAGACGACGGGTGCGCCTGGGTCCTAGTGCCCTGCCACCTACACGTCTTGGCAGACACCTACCCCTGTGTAGAGCCATGCATCGCGATGGTCCCTGACATCGCCGCTGCTCAGACTTCCACCCCACCTAGCATTCCTCACACTAAAACCCCCTCTACACTCCACTCCTTCAACGTCGCTACTACTGAAGAGGTCACTAAGGTCTTTTCAGATGCCCACCTCACCACCTGCCCCCTTGACCCTGTCCCCTCACAACTCCTACGATCACCCTCTTCCTCCACCCTATGCTCCCACACTCACATCTTTAATCTTTCCCTCTCTACTGGCACCTTCCCCTCCCCTCTAAAGCACACGCACATCACTCCCATACTTAAAAAACCCTCCCTGGATCCCACCAACCTAAACAACCTAAGACCCATCTCCCTGCTGCCATTTACATCCAAACTCCTAGAGCGCTTAGTCTATAATCGCCTGAGTTCCCACCTCACCGACAACAACCTCCTTGATCCCCTACAGTCTGGCTTCCGCCCCCTACACTCCACCGAAACTGCCCTACTCAAACTCACCAATGACCTGATAACCGCCAAAACTAATGGCCACTATTCAGTGCTCCTACTCCTCGACCTCTCTGCGGCTTTTGACATGGTTGACCACCCCCTCCTCCTCAAAAAACTACACTCTCTTGGTCTCAGAGACTCTGCTCTCTCCTGGCTCTCTTCCTATCTATCACAGCGCTCCTTCAGTGTTACCTATAATGCTACCACCTCTCCTCTTCACTCCCCCTCTCGGTTGGGGTCCCTCAAGGTTCTGTCCTTGGGCCCCTTCTCTTCTCCATCTACACCTCCTCCCTTGGCCAATTGATACATTCTCACGGCTTCAACTACCATCTCTATGCCGGCGACACGCAAATCTATCTCTCTACCCCTCACCTCACCCCTTCAGTCTCCGCCCGAATCACAAGCCTACTGAGCGACATATCGGATAGGATGTCACTCCACTTCCTCAAACTAAATCTTTCCAAAACCGAGCTCCTAGTTTTCCCCCCAGCCCGCGCCCCCCTCCGACTTCTCCATCAAGACCAACAACACTACCATCAGTCCCACCCCTCAAGCCAGAGTACTAGGTGTCACCCTAGACTCCAATCTGTCCTTCCAGCCCCAGGTCCAATCGCTGACAAACTCATGTAGACTTCACCTCCACAACATCTCCAAAATACGACCGTTCCTAACCCCGGAAACCACTAAGCAACTCATTCACTCCCTTATTACCGTATTTTTCGCTCCATAAGACGCACCTGACCATAAGACGCACCTAGGTTTTAGAGGCGAAAAACAGGAAAAAAAAATATTCTGAACCAATGGACTGCAGACATAGTACAGGGAATGACCAGAGACTGCGGACACAGTACAGGAGATGACCAGAGACTGCGGACACAGTACAGGAGATGACCAGAGACTGCGGACACAGTACAGGAGATGACCAGAGACTGCGGACACAATACAGGAGATGACCAGAGACTGCGGACATACTACAGGAGATGACCAGAGACTGCGGACATAGTACAGGAGATGACCAGAGACTGCGGACACAGTACAGGAGATGACCAGAGACTGCGGACACAGTACAGGAGATGACCAGAGACTGCAGACACAGTACAGGAGATGATCAGAGACTGCGGACACAGTACAGGAGATGACCAGAGACTGCGGACACAGTACAGGAGATGATCAGAGACTGCGGACATAGTACAGGAGATGATCAGAGACTGCGGACACAGTACAGGAGATGACCAGAGACTGCGGACATAGTACAGGCGATGATCAGAGACTGTGGACATAGTACAGGAGATGACCAGAGACTGCGACACAGTACAGGGGATGACCAGGGACTGCGGACACAGTACAGGAGATGACCAGAGACTGCGGACACAGTACAGGAGATGACCAGAGACTGCGGACACAGTACAGGAGATGACCAGAGACTGCGGACACAGTAAAGGAGATGACCAGAGACTGCGGACATAGTACAGGAGATGACCAGAGACTGCGGACATAGTACAGGAGATGACCAGAGACTACAACCAGAGGTTCACTTCGGCAATTAGCCATCACCTGGGGCTGATTGCAGGTGGTG